GTGTTAGAAGTTTGAGTTGCCCACCTCATTTTCAATTTAGAGGTTTGAGTTGTACCCTTTGTATATACCTCTCCATATGTGTACCGTCTCCTATGTGTTGCCTATGTTTGTCTCCTCTTTTTACTGATAATGTCTTATAGGAGAGTGTGTTTCAGGTTTATAGGGGAGATGTTTTGTTGATTTTTTTTTCTTTTACAATGCTATTTCACTAAACATTCTCACTTTGAATTCTTGTCCTCTGGAAGACAGATAAAAAGTAAACGCATAGGTGGAAGTTCATGAGCGTTAGTTTTCTTGGATTTGGTCCCATAGATTATCTTGTTCTTGGTATAGGTTTTTTTCTTCAGGACTCATTTAGCAAGTTTTTGCCCTCAGGTGCTAAATATACACTTTGTATTTTCTTATCTATGTACATATTGGGTCCCCAGAGTGAAATGTAAGTTTTTTGAAGGCAGGGACTTTCTTTTCCTTTTTTCATTTTTATATCCCCAACACCTAGCATAATCCTTTACATAGAGTAAGTACCATAAAAGTTCACTGAATTGGATTGTTATAGATATTTGGTTGTTGTTAACAATAGTTTCTATAGTACATCGAGGTTTGCAAAGTGCTTTGTAAAATGAAATATAATATGAATTGATTCTCATAATAACTTTGTGAATTAGGTAGTAAAGTATTATTATACAATGGGGATATTTTATAAATGAGGAAACTGAGACTCAGTGATTACAGTATTACATAAATAGTAAAGGTCATGACCAGGACTAGAACACACAGGTCTAGAAACAGGTCTGACACCTAAGGTAAGAAACACAAAATATGTCCAGAGCAAAGAGCTTGAATAGTGGTCTCAAATTAACTTTATGAAAAATTCAATTGCATGGAGACAGAAACTTGAGGAGAAGTCTTGGAACTGGGATGGGGGTCCAATGGGGAAAAGACTAAAAAATACTGACCTTTGGGGGAGATAAAGACCCTAGTACGTTGGCTACAGAATGTCATATAGCTACTATAAGGGAACACACCACTGGGGTAGGAAGCAAGGTGAGGGTCAGCTAAGGTACAAGCTTACTTCTGTCTTTTGGAAATTTTCTATTTTAACTAATTATTCTTGCAAATCTGGTTCTAAGCTCAGTTTTTTTTCCTACTTACTGAAGGAATAACAGCCTTGTCAATGTTCAATCACTTTCAGTGACCGAGGTAGAGCCCCAGTTGCCCCACTTACCTCCCTCTAAGTTTAGTATTCTCTCCCTTACTTAAAGCTGTCTGCATAATTCTATAGCAATAGAAAAAAAAAACCAAAAACAAAAAACTTTTGTTCTTAATTCCTTACCGATGCTGGTAGTTTTCATTTATAAAATTGTTTTTCATCCTGTGGTGAAATCCTGGTAAATTGATAGTTTGGGAGGAAGCCATAGTAGTGAGTAGTACTTATAGAAATGTTTCAATTTTCTTTCTTAAGTTAAAAAAAAAGAAAAATGAAAAAAGCTCTTTTGGCATTGATTGGTACTTAGTCAAGTATTGATTATGTACTTAGGAAGAAATAAAGCTATTAAGAATTCAGGGAGTTATTTTTGGCACGTGCAATTTCATACCTTAAAATTATCACATTTTAGATTTTGGTGCAGACGAATGACTAGCCCCAAAGAATATTTTGAATGGATTGACGTCAACCCACTGGGAGAATTCTAGAGGGTTGCTTCAGGACATCTGTTCTCTTCATTTTAATCAGGGGTTTGTAACAAGACACAGAGGGCATATTTATCAAATTTATTGATGTTCTGAATCTTGGAAGGAAAGCTAATATATTGGATGACATAGTTGTGATACAAACAAATTTTAAAAGGCTGGAATAATTAATTGAGTCTAACTATTTGAGATGTAGTAGAAATAGAAACTCTTATACTTGGATTTAAAAAAAATCAGCTCATCAGTGTAGGCTGGGGGAGATGTGGGTAGAAAGCAATTCATATGGAAAAGATTTGGTGGTTTCAGTGGCCTGCGCCTTCAACTTAAGTCAGCATTATGACCTAGTAGATTAAAAGCCAATGAACTCACCATCCAAATCATACAACTGTGATATTATATACCACTAATAGAAATATACTGACCATCAGAAAGAAGATAATCCCTTTATAGTCTTCTCTGGTCAAGAATATGTTTGGAGTACTGTTATGGGTGCCATATTTTAGGAATTATATGGCAAGATGGAGCTCATTTAGAGGTAATGCATCATGGCAAAGGTTAACAAATCCAGTACATAAAAGAACTGATTTAAGAAAAATGAGTATGAGTAGTCTAGAGAAAAGGAGTCTTAAAAGGGATATGATTATTGTCTTCAAATCTTTTAGGGCCTGACATGCAGAAGAATGATTAGATTTATGGTGCTTGGTCCTAGAGGATAGGCCCGGTATGTGTTACAGAGATGAAAATGTGATGTGTTTCCACAGGAAGCAGAATGCCCCATCGATGGAGGCCTTCTGTGAGAGGCTAAATGGTCATCTGTTGAATATAATAGATGGAATTCATTCAGGAAGGGCTGGTGCTAGATTATTTTGGAGCCATTTACAGAAATCAACTCTTCAAGAATCTTGTGCTTCTGTGACTTAGTATTTACCTGTGTTCTGCTTTGTTAAAAGAGGGTAGAATTCAAGTATAAAAGTGAAGTTAAATAATGTTTGTTCTGTCTTGGTCTTTATATTTTCAAAGTGGAATGTTTAAGTAGCAGACAGTGACTTGCTCAGGTATTAAAGATATTTGTTGAATTGAATTACATGTATAAGTGATTTAACCACATAAAGAAAAGTCAGCTTGTGAAAAAGGAGAAAAAAAACCCACAACATTATTTCTTTATCACTGTAACAATGGTGTTGGCAGAGAGGTTGCAAGTTGATGAAGAAGATTTCAAGTTACTATTTAGAAAAAAAAATTAAACCATTGTCCAAGCATTGTCTACCTTTATTAGAGGCTTAAATGAATAATGTTATTGAAAGTGTTGGGGTTTTTTTTTTGTCTTGAAGAACATATGTTAAATTCTACATTGCCCAGCAGATGTTAAAGGATATAAAATAATCAATGAAATATGTCTGAGGTTAAAGACTGAATGCTAATATTTGTAGCAAATTCATGAATTAACCTTATCTTTTCATTCCTGTTTCAAAAGCTATTTTTTTGTATAACAAAAAGGTTCTGTCTTGACTGCAAAAATATTGGTGGCTGCTAATAGTTAAATGTGTTTAGGTTTAATTCCTATGTTTTAATTTCACAATTTTATTGTTTAATATCAGGAAGTCAATTGAAAGAATTGGAATGTAAAAAGAAAAAAAATATTTCACAAGTTTTCTAATTGTTAAACTCTGATGTATGCATTGTTTAGGTCAAGCCTTTACCTGTGACACACAAATATAAAATAACTAAAAAAGTAGACTATTTTCTCAATAATCATACCCTCTGGGTATGATAGACATTCATGATTCTAAGATATTTATAACACTATATTTATGACAATATAGTATCTTACTCATATGAAGCACTTGATATGCCTGCCTAATTACCTGACTTCCATAGAGTGACTTACTCTATCTGCATTTTTGATCCGATCAACTATTTATGGGTTGATCATTTTAGGTTAATACCAAAGCAACTGATGACATTGAAAGTGGCCGATCCCAATTAAGAATCAGTTGTTAAGATTTCTGTATTGTTACTGAATTCATTATTCTACAATAGACCAAAATGGCACCCCACACCACCAACTTCTCAACAAGTCAAGTCAACAAGCATTTATTAAGTGCCTACTATGTTTTAAATACAAAGTTAAGCACAGAGGATTCAATGAAAGGCAAAAGCAGTTTTGGATCTCAAAGAGCTCACAATATAACAGGGAGACATGCAAACAACTATGTACAAACAAGATATACACATGATAAATTGTAGATGATAACAGAGGGAAAACAATAAAAAAAAAAGCTTCTTACAGAAAGAGATTTTAGCTGAGCCCTAAAGGAACCAGGGAAGTCAGAAGGGAAATGAGAAGGGAGAGAATTCCAGGTACAAAAGATAGCCAGTATAAATGCACAGAATCCAGAATCCTACAAACAGAACAAATGGGTGGTTTTGTGTAAATAGAGCCAAGTCCCTATAAGCATCATCTTATAAGCATTTTTTTTTTCCTTCTAGTGGCAGATACAGGCACATTACTCTGTCACAAGGGTATCTATACTATAGCATACTTTTCTAAAAGTTAGAGAATCTGAATGTGTGCAGAAACAACACCTAACAGTTATCTCCTAAGTTTTCTGCTTTTAGTTTTCTTGCCTCAAGTCTCCCCCCATTCTAGTCCATTTTCTACTCAATAGCCTAAGTGATCTTTCTAAAGCATAGATCTGATTATGTCATCCCCCTTTTTTGAACTCTAAGCCAGAGTGAATAGCTAATAATGCCTGTGCATTTCTAAAAGCAATTAGAAATTTAATGTGCAGGGCAGTGTGAAACAAGCTAGCTCTCCAGGACAAAACATTTCCTATTTAATTTCATTTTTCAGTTTCTTCATCTGTATAATGGGATAATAATAGCACCCACTTCTCAAGGTTGTTGTGAGGCTTACATGAGATAATATTTGTAAAGCTCTTAGTACTGTGCTGGGCACATAGTAGCTGCTATATGAATGCTAGCAATTATGATTTCTTTCTCAAAATTGTATATACCTATATATGTATACATATACATATTTATATAAAATATGTAAATATACTCTGGAGGGCAGGGACCATGTCATATATAAATTCTGTATCTCTTCCAACACGATGTTCTGCACACAGTAGACAATAAAGGTTTGTTGAATGATTGGTTGATCTAACAAGATAATCTTCAATAGATTTATATATTTATGTTTCTTTGTGAAATCCTCTGTAAAATTTTCAAATTTTATTGTGGAAAACTATGTAATCCCAGCATCTTTGCTTACTACCCTCCAGCCATTCCTGATCCCAACAACTCACAACTTTCAATCTCTAGCGTGCAGTTCTGTTCATCCAGAGGATATCTTCGCAGATCCATCATGCAAGCAGCTGTTGTTGTGATCCTGTAAGAAAAAAGAAAAAGAAAAAGGAAAACCATGACATAAACTCATGAGGAAAGTTACATTTGACTACCAGCCTTCTTTATGGTATTCAGTATCTGCCTTCCAAGGAGTTAAAAAAAAACTGACCAGCTGCCAAAACGTATTTACCAGCCTGGTGAATCATCCACAGTTCTGCCCACACCTCCTGGCATCATAGGGATGGCACCTTTTAATGACTGGCAGTGTTTCTTGAGATTCTGTCTTTTATGTCCTAACAGTTCTGGAATAATTAGCAAGAGACTCAGATAGATATATATCATTGATAAACTCTGTAACCTTGGGCAAATCACTTAACTCCTTTGGTGCTTAGCTTCCTAAAATGTAAAGCAAGAAGGTTGGACTAGATCAGGACTTTTAAATCATTTTTGTATCATGGACCTTTTGGGAAGTATGGTGAAACCTATGGACTCCTTTTCAGGATAATTCTAAATTTTTTAAAATTAATTTTTAAGTTTTAAAAAATTAATTTAAAACTTTAAAAAAATTAATTTAAGAATTTTAGATTAAATTTAAAATTAAAAAATCTAACTTAAATGTTAATTTAAAATTTTTAAAAAATGCATATAACAAAACACAAAGGACTACAAACTTTGTAGCATAAAGGGAATCAATTATATTGACATACAATTATCAAAATATGTATATATATATATATTTAATTAATTTATTTTGACTTATCAACCATCACTTCCATAAGCTTTTGAATTTTAAATTTTTCTCTGTCTCCCTCTCCACCTCTCTCCCCAAGATAGCATGCAATCTGATATAGGCTATACATATACATTCCTATTAAACATATTTTCACATTAGTGATGTTGTAAGGAAGAATTAGAACCAATAGGAGGAACCATGAGAAAGAAGAAACAAAACACAACAGAAGAAAAAAATAGCAAATAGTATGCTTCGATCTGCATTCAAACTCCATAGTTCTTTCTTTGGATGTGGATAGCATTTTCCATCATGACGCCTTTGGAGATGTCTTAGATCCTTGTATTGCTGGGAAGGTTTAAGTCTATCAATATTAGTCATCGCACAACGTGGCTGTTACTGTGTACAACATTCTCCTGGTTCTGCTCACTTCACTCAGCATCAGACCATACAAGTCTTTCCAGGTTTTTCTGAAGTCTGTCTGTTCATCATTTCTTATAGCACAGTAGTATTCCATTACATTCATATACCACAACCTGTTCAGCCATTCCCCAATTGATGGGCATCCTCTCAATTTCCAATTCTTTGCCACCATAAAAAGAGCTGCTATAAATATTTTTGTACATGTGGGTCCTTTTCGCATTTGTGTGATCTCTCTGGGATATGGCCCTAGAAGTACTATTGCTGGGTCAAAGGTATGCACATTTTTATAGCCCTTTGGGCATAGTTCCAAATTGCTCTCCAAAATGGTTGGATCATTTCACAACTCCACCAACAATGCATTAGTGTTCCAATTTTCCCACATCTTCTCCAAAATTTATCATTTTCCTGTTTTGTCATGTTGGCCAATCTGATAGGTGTGATGTGGTACCTCAGAGTTGTTTTACTTTGCATTTCTCTAATCAATAGTGATTTAGAACATTTTTCATAAACTATAGAAAAACTAGTACACATCTCCAAAAGGCTCATGATGGAAAATGCTGTCCACATCCAGAAAAAGAACTATGGAGTCTGAATGCAGATCAGAGAATATTATTTCTCTCTCTCTCTCTCTTTCTTTCTTTTTTTGTTTGTTTCTTCTTTCTCATGGTTTCTCCTCTTGGTTCTAGTTCTTTTTTACAACATGACTAATGTTAAAATAGATTTACTATGAATGTGTATGCAGAGCCTATATCAAATTACACACCATCTTGGGGTGGGGGAGGTGAGAGATGGGGAGAAAATTTGGAACTCAAAATCTTATGGAAGTGAATGTTGAAAACTAAAAATAAATAAATAAATTTTAAAAATAACTAGTTCACATTCTCATGTTACGAACCTCTGGAGTAGGCATCTCTCAGGTTTCTTTCAGCTCTGACATTCTACGATTCTAAGACCCAGGAGAGGTTACTCATTCAGTCTTATCATTCATTTATACTTTGTTGTGAATGAGCTCATCTGATATTTTCTAGGTCACCGTTGTGATGGCACGGAGAGAACATGAGAACACTGAATTAGGAACAACAGTGAAAGAAGTGGATCACCACATCTAATTCCATTGAAAAGGCAATTCTTCATGCACAATTCAAAGGATCAAAGGTAGAAATGGTATGATCAAGTGAAGGGAGGTAGTGAATAAATTTGCTTTAGTTTATGTGGAAGAAATTGAATAGGGGATTCAGAAGAGGCAAGGCACATTGGGTGGTCTGAATCTCTGGATGAATGACTTTGAGGTACAATGAAGATCTTGGTTCTGGCTCCTGTTGTGTTGGGAAGCCACTGTAGGATATTTCTAGCCTTCTGATTATGTGACAAATTAGCTGAGTATATCATGGTTGACCTGCTTCACCAACTTAATTTTAGAGATATGCCTCTGGGTTAGCCAGAATCCCATGATGATGTAGTTGGCCAAATAGAGATCCTTTTCTGCTCTAAATCTACGAACCTAAGGGAAGGCTTAAGTTCAGTTGAAGGTTCATCCTAACTAAGTGCTGTGGGAATCATTTAGCCTTAATCATCTGAATCATATTCTGTGGAATTAAGGGCCCAAAGAATTATGAAGCCAAGTAATCACATTGAATGGCAGAACTATTGCTGAAGTATTTGCATCTAAGGTCCATGCCCTAAGTTATTATTTGGGCTTTCTATTTGACTTCTACCATCAATTCCTCCTTTTCAGGGGTGTTTGAGAGAATTAGCTACAAAGTTGGCTACAAACAAGGGCATATTTGATTGGTCACTGTTTATGGGGAAGTAGTTAGCCAACTGTTCCTCTGGACACAGATTCCAAGTGTGGGGGCAGGAGGCAGCGTGATGTGTCTGCTTCTTTTAAAAATCAAATCAACAAGCACTTATTAAGCACTTACTATGTGCCAGGCAGGCTATTTGCAATGGTCATTGTGATAATTTGTTTATAGAATTGACCACTGGGCCTGAAAAAGAAAAGGGTTATTAAAAGAAAGTGAGCCAAGGGTACTTTGGAATAATGGAATAAATAGAAATCATGTTGCTGTGACTTTCACTGAGTAAGCTCGGGAGATAGGATTGTTCATCTCTGATGAGCAGGATGAAAGGATCACCTTTAGCTGTTCTACAAAGGGAAAAAAGGTAGTCCATGCCTTCTGGGAAACTTAGAATTGAAGACCTTAGGTACTCCAAAGGCTAAATAGGCATACTTGTAAGAGAGAAGTTTAGCAAGAAGTTAAGTATATTATTACCCTGGGGAACTTATAAAGGAAATTGCTCACTAATTTCAGTTGTGGGATAAAGAAATACAAGGAGGGGGAGTTGGAGGCAATCAGAATTAAGTGGCTTACCCAAGGTCATATACTCATTTAATGTCTGAGACCAAATTTGAACTCAAATCCTCCCAACTCCAGGGCAAGTGCTCTATCCATTGCACCATATAGCTGCCCTGAAATGCAAGCTTTTTTTTTCTGTAGGCAGTTGAGGTTAAGTGACTTGCCCAGGGTCACACAGCTAGTAAGTGTCAAGTGTTTGGTCTGAGGCCCGATTTGAGCTCAGGTCCTCCTGACTTCAGGGCCGGTGCTCTATCCTCTGCGCCACCTAGCTGCCCCAGAAATACAAGCTTTTAAAAAGAATGATCATAGCCTGATAAAATCATAGGAGAGACTCTTAGAACCTGAAGTAATATAAGCCAGTGACAGTATGAGGTATTTATGAAGAAGAGAAAATAAAACCTTTTCTCTTGACAAATGTTACGTTCAAGTCATCCAAAATGAATAGTTGAGTTCACCCAACTGCCACCCAGTAGGATACATCCTCAATCATGAAACTTTCCTCTTTCCTCTTTTCCCTTGTCCTACATGCCCCTGGTTTGCATTGAGTCCTTCTGCCTTAGAATTACACCGTGACGCCAATGGAATAGTTTCCTCAGGGAAACCTCTTATCATTCTTTGTAAATGTTGCTGGTGAAACTGCTGGTGAAACTCTTGGCCCCTGGTGATTTCTGGGTATTCCAGGGGACCTTCAACTATGTCTATTTTTTTTTCCAATGTAGATCTTCCAGAATTATCAACCAACTGAAAAAAATGGAAAGAACAAAAACCCCTATACCAAAATAAAAGTAGACTCTAAGTCTGAAAGTAAAAACAGAGCACAGTTCCAGAGAATTTTTGATCAGGTATGGTTTGGAGTGGCTACAAAGAGCTTACTAGGAAGTGAACATTTCCAATTATAAAGGATAATAGTAAGCATTCTATTGTAAGGGATCTCCAAGTAAACTAGAGCTTCTTATCCAAGTCTCAAGGGAGCTTTTCATTTGAAAGCTACCCAGTGACCCATCTGGGAATGAATCTATGGTGGATGGGTAAATAATTGCTTATGGGTTTGTCTGAGGCACATATTAAAGCATGATCCTATCCAGAGACCAAACCCAGGATTTTGGCTTTATGGTGCTAATGAGTCTAAGATATAATACCTGTGAGAATGAGAGCTAGTTAGCTTTGGTAGGAGACAATCTCTATTTTATGACCATGGATGGAATCCTAGACCCTGAACAGGAATTTTATAAGCATGTCACAAAAAACCATCACGAGCAAGGATAAATACATTAGTGTGCCTAATCATCATTCCTAAGTCAGTAGCCTCACCTTAGTCTATGAAGGACTGATGAGTGTAACTAAAGTCAACTTGGTTCAAATCAATAGACCCTGTGTGTGTATGTATGTGAATGTGTGTATCTCATAAAATGTTATGTTTATGATTTATCATATTGTACATTTGTAAGATAAGTAATCCTGCCGACTACACCATTTGTTACACAGGGACCACCCCTGCAGGTTTTGGGTTCCAGCCTCTTACAGGTTCACTCG